GTGGTTCAGGAAGGCGGTCCAAATTAGTTGACGACGTAGTAGAGGAGGAAGAGGTGGACGGAGGGACGATGATTGGTGCGGTTGACCTGAAGGTGTACAACAAGTCCATTTGGCGCTCGGAATGTCCGTTGACACCGCGGACACGTTGAAAGTGGTTGTGCGTTGGCATTGCAGGGTGGACGCAGCTGAGAGTTGCGTGCTTCGCATTGGGCTTTCGCCTCGACAATGCACTTGGCTTTGTAGAGCACAGCGCCTGTCTTCACTGCCCTCCCCCAGGTCCGTCGGTCTTGGGCGAGGTCTTCCCAGTTGGTCGGATTTATTTGCAGATGCTTCAGGGAGGACTTCAGAGTATCCCTGTATCGACGAATTTAGCCTACTTGGCGGCGGAAACCCGTCGTGACGTCTTCATAGAAGAGTCGTGTGGGTAGTCGCTCGTCGTCCCTCCGCACGAGATTGCCGCTCCAACGCAGCTGCAGTTGTGTCAGCATGGTGTAGACGCTGAGGATTCCCGTCCGCCTCAGTACATCGGTGTCAGGGATGCGATCCTGCCAACTCAGCCTCAGGATGCGACGAAGACAGCTGAGGTGGAAGTGGTTGAGTCGACGTGCTTGCTTCGTGTACAACGTCTAGGTGTCTGCTCCATACAGCAATGTCGGTAGGATGACGGCCTTGTACGTCTTCAGGTTCGTACTGGGCTGGAGACCATGACAAATTCAAACTGTGTTTTGAAGGCGACCGAAGGCTTGACTGGCTTTCGGAATCTTGCGAACGACTTCGTCATCGATTTCGGTGCTGCGGGAGAGGGTACTGCCCAGGTACGGGAATTTCTCCACCACTTGCAGTTGGGTTCCGTTCATGCTGATCTGTGGCGCATTGTGAGGAGGGGCTGTGTTGGGTGGCAGTTGATGCATAACCACCGTCATCTCCGTGTTGGTGACCAGACCGAAGTTCTCGTAGGCGGCGGAGAAGAGGTTCATTCTCCTTTACATGTCGTCTTCCGAGGTAGTGTTGAGGGCTCAGTCGCCTACGAAGAGAAGTTTGTGAATGGTGGTTGTGGATACGCGCGATTGGAAGTGTACCCGCCGGTGATTGAAGAGGTGGCCGTCGGTTCGGTAGGCAATGCGGATCCCGGGGTGTTCATCACGGTAGGCGTCCATCAGCATGGCAGAGAGCATAAGACTGAAGAGGATGGAAACATCCCTGCCTCTGAGATAGCTCTGTTGTCCGTGACTCGCGCCATCGTGGAGCTTACGCACCAGCTGAATGGATCGTTCGGGACAGCCGAATTTCTGCATGATCTTCCGAAGTCCTTCACGATTAACTGTGTCGAAGGCTTTCGTCGGATCCACGAAGGTAGACTACAGGTGGGTCTGCATCTCCTGACACTTCTCCTGAAGTTGACGGGCAGCGAAGATCATATACGTGGTCCCACGATGACGGCGGAAGCCGCGTTGGCTTTCCGGCAGAGAACCCAGTTCTAAATGATTATTCAGACGGTTGAGGAGGATGTGAGCAAAGATTTTCCCGGCTATATCCAGCAGGGAGATACCTCGATGATTGTCCCGGAGCTGGCGGTTACTTTTTCGCTTGTATAGGTGCACGACTGTGGCGTCCTTGAAATCCTGCGGGACTTCTCCTCAGCGTCATATCTCCTGGAAGAGCGCAGTCGGGTGATCCATGAGTTAGGGGCCATCGTGCTCGTAGATTTCATCAGGGATCTCGTCCGATTCGGGTGCTTTCCCGTTGGAGAGCTTCAGCACGGCCTTGGTGTTTTCGTGTAGAAAGGGCGGGAGGTCGAGGTTGACGTTGGTCTACACTTGCGGCAGACGGGCGATGGCGGCGTCTGAGATGGTGGGGAGACGTTTGAGGACGCCTCTGAAGTGCTCGGCCCATCGCTGTAGAATTTATGTCTTCTCAGTGAGTAGGGTACTTCCATCGGCGCCGAGAAGAGGAGCATTTGCTTTGGTTGGTGGACCATAGATATCCTTGGTCGCAGAGAAACTCTTCCATTCGTTGCGGTCCATGTACCCTCGGACCTCCTCGGCCTTGCGCGTCGTCCAAGCGTCCTACATCTCCTGCAGTCGCTGTTGAACAAGACGGCGACTTTGGTGGTAGGCTATTTTGTTGTCGTCGGTGGGGCGGTTGACGTAGACTTTTTGCAGGCGATTCTCCTCGGCGAGCAGTTTGCTGATGGCGGCGTCGTTGTCGTCGAACCAGTCTTGGTGTTGTCAGCGTGCGCGACCGAGGACAGCCAGCGCCGTCGACTGGACTGTGTCCCGCAGTTGACACCATCGGTTCTCCACAGATACGTTCTCGTCAGCGGCGGCGGCGGCGGCAGCGACTGAAAGGTCCTCTAGTTGTTGAGCTAGCTCATTGCTGAAATGAAGATGGTGAGCAGGCAAAGACAATAAGGCAGTATTCAGCTTACCTGGGGGTCGCTTACCTTGTGGTCTTCTGCGAGGCTGTAGGCGAATCCGCATCTTCGAGATGACGAGACGATGGTCGGTCCACCGGTCAACACCCGGAATCGTCTTTTTCACCAGCAAGTCTCGCTGGTCTCGCCCCTGGACGAGGACATAGTCCAGCAGGTGTCATTGACGCGACCGAGGATGCATCCAGGTGGCCTCATCTCGCTCCGGCAAACAGAAGAGGGTGGTCGTCGGGATGAGTCGGTGTTCTGCGCAGGTGCGGAGAAGGAGCAGGCCATTGTCTTTTGAGTTGCGGAGACCATGGAGACCTAGCACTCCTCTCCAGACAGCATGGTCTGTGTCAACGCCGGTGTTAAAGTCACAAAGGACAATTAACTTGTCCGCCTTCGACACAGTCGCCAAGAGGGCGTGCAGGTCCTCGTCGAATTTGTCTCTGACGGCGTCGGGGTTGGTCATCGTCGGAGCGTAGGCGCTGATGATGGTGGCGAATTTGCCTCCCCAGAGAGGCAGGCGGAGGCTCATCAGGCGATCGTTGATGCCCTGCGGCAAACAGGGCAGTCGTCCCACGATGTCGTTCCGAATGGCGAAGGCGACACCCGCGTCCCGTCGCTCTGCCCTGGGTCGACCACTCCAGAAGAAGGTGTAACCGGCACCCACCTCCTCCAGTTGGCCTTTTCGGAGAATCGGGTCTCGCTGAGTGCGGCGATGTCCACCTTGTAGCGCGCCAGTTCTCGTGCCACTAGCGCCGTCCTCCGTTCCGGTCGGTTGTTCCTCGGATTGTCTAAAAGGGAACGAACATTCCAGGCTGCCAGAATGTGTGGACTCACCCTACTAGTCCGGCGAGTGAGGCGGCGGCGGTGAGGGGAGGAGGAGGAGGAGGAGGAGGAGGAGGGGGAGAAGAAGAAGAAGAAGAAGAAGAAGAAGAAGAAGAAGAAGAAGAAGAAGAAGAAGAAGAAGAAGAAGAAGAAGAAGAAGAAGCAGATGGAGAATAGGCAGGAAGAGGAAAAGAGACCATTGTTGTTGTTGTTGTTGTTGTTGTTGTTGTTGTTGTTGTTGTTGTTGTTTCGAGTTTGATTGTTTCGGTCGTGAGTTTGACGTCCACGACCACGGTCCACCTGCAGACGCCATGGTTCCCCAGCAATCTTTAAGGCACCATTTCTAACCCCTCCCTTTGTTGGCAAGCAGTGCCACCCTAAATAGGGCTGCTTGGTAGTGCCAGGCGCGGCCAAACTCCACTATGGGCCACGTCTTTGGTGTGGTGGAAGAACGACTCGAATTAGCCTGAAGAGCTTACGATATCGCCGTAAGCTCGTGGCCTCCAGCGGTGCACTAGACGGAGCCTCGTCTCGACGGTGCCGATGCGGAGTTCCATCTTAAAAACCGCCCAACGGATACCCTCACCTGGTTTAGCTCGCCGGTCGAGGCGGTTACCGGGGTGTGGCCGCTAGGCGGAGCCTAGCTTCGGGAAGCCACTTATGAGAGTTGGGTGCCAGCAAAAGTACTTTAGGCGTAGTCTGCACCTGCAAGCAAGTGAGCGACCTGCTACGACCGTCACGTGAACCCACCGTTGGACTTCCCTACACCCCCTTCGGAGACATACCAGTTGGCTACGCGCACTAGTCTCTCCCGTACGCTAGTACGAATGCAAACGCTTTAGAAACCGCCGTTTCTCTAATCACGTTCGCTAATTTTGGCCAAGTGGAGCATGACACTGCTGCAAAGTCAATCGATAAGGGACGGTTTTTACCGTTCAAAACCAGATCTATCTACGCGTAACTGTCTAAATGCTTGATATATAAATTCGGTAACTTTAGTATTTGTGGTTGACTGTAATATCACCTGGGGTTCTGACAGCCGGCCAAGACCGTGGTTTTGACGATAAAAGTTACCTCCTCGTCGACATTGCTCATCCAACCCTCTCCCCGTCTAAGCTGCTCATCCTTAACTGACCAGATAATAACAACAACTATCTCTTATTATCCTACCACATTACCCACTTTTCACTTGTGTGGCAAGGCTGACATAACGAGGTTTACCTAATTACCTTCGTGTTTTAAATGACCCTGTTGGCGGGCATGATGAGAATTCGTCGAAGTTAAGCTAGTTCAGGTCAAACTATATACTGGATACTTTCATTGGAATATTCGAAACTCAAAATTTGACATTGCTGGTTCAGCAACTAAATGAGTCTGACATTTGGAGCACAAGTACTTAACCACGCTGCTTTTCTTAATTTCAACCAAATTTTAGGCTATGAAAGGGCTTTTAAAACCCAACTTGTACTTCTGATAGTTTCCGGAAGGGCGGCGCTTATTGATTAACACAAAA